GTTTTCTGAGCAGGTTTGCCATTGCCTTTGCCCAAGGACGGTGATTTGAACGGTGAGGTTCGTGCAGTGGCTGCGGGGAGTTTTTCACTCAAACTGCCGACTTGCCAATATCGTTTTTTGTTAATTGGCAATTCCCATTGACTGCTCCGTGCCAGCAGCCRGTGGGGATGAAATCAATGGGTCCCACCTTTTCATTCCCGACAGCTGCAATAATCACCTCGTTTAGGAGCAACTTCATCCGGACAAACAACGGCAAATCTCGCCCAGAACGGTGACCTGGCTGCCTTTAATGCTGGGCTCTAATTGCTAAACCACTGCCTGGGTTCATTGATCAGCCCTTTCCCTCTACTCCTCACCCAAGCAAAGCTACAGGTTGGAATTTATGGGTTTTTTTTTAATGAAAGGGAAGAAATCAACAGAGGCCTGGCTGATGCAGCACGTGAACGCTGAGATCTCTCTTGATTAATAATATATGATACAATGAGGCTGAAGGGTCATGAGAACATCATTTTCTCCTTACAAGTTATGAAAAAAAATGATCTAAATCTGAAAATCGATGGAAGGGAAAACAGGGGAAAGAATTTTTTTTTTTCTCATTTCTTTCACACAATGTTTTAGTACTCTGAGGTATGTCTGGTAAAATGGGTGGTTCCTTGATTGCTCAAACCAAAAAAAGTCCAAACTGACAAAAAAAAATGTTCATGATGATGAATGAATCATTGTCACATCTTGTCACCAGAGATCAGATTGGCTCAGGAGAGGGTCCCCCCAATTCGGAAGGGACTGGGACTCACAGATGGTTTCACTCCTTCTCCCCATCCTCCCTTCAATAATGAAAAAGAAAAGGAGGGGTGAGCTTGTACTGAGCTATTCCTCATCCAGTTTCCCCAGGGAACACCACAGTGGTGCAGAGCTGTGCCAGGGACAATCCTGAAGAGGCCCAGGCAGAGCAGTTCTTTGGGAAAAGTGGCTTGTTGGGTTTTTTTTTTTTCCCCCTTGGGAAGTGTTTTACAAATCCACTGGCAAGAGTTTCATTCTCTATAAGACTTGAGTGACACTCAGGGATGCCTTCCCTCCTTTCCCGAGGTAATTTCACCTGCAATCCCTTCCCAGAGTTTATCCCTGGTATTTTCTAAGGGTTACTCAGGAATCCCTAAACCTCAGAGATTTMCCAGTGCTCGGGGTTGATGCACACACGAGGCCTCTCAACCACAAAGCTTTAACATTTGAAAAAATACCATGAGCTCTTTGTTATTTCGTTTCAAACATTAGTGGAAATGTCAGACAAAAGGGTTCAGCTCACACCAAGCTCTTCCAGGTGTAATTGCCTCGTGTGTAATGCCTTGATATTGGTTATAATGAAATCCCCTTTGACTTTCAGCCGTGTAGATGRGGGCAGAGAGAAGGCCAGAATTTCCATCTAAGCTTTAGGAGCAGTTCTGCCTGTAGAAAGTGAGCCTAATCCTGCTGGCATCTCTCAGTCAGTTKAATATTTAATATTTCACCCTTCTTACAAAGCTGTATTAAGCTGAAATTGGTGCATGGGTAAAGAATCACGTCCCAGGCACTTTCTCCTTGCAAATAATTCTGGTTTTTTTCCATGAAGCTTTACCAGGCTTTGCCAACCTGTCTGAGCAAAGAACTGAGTAAAAGTGTGCTGAAACATCAGGATTTGGCTCTGTGAGCACTCACACATCTGGGTGACCTTGTTATTCCWATTTACTGTTAAATAAACGTGAACTAAAACAGGTTTATGTTGGTTGTTTTTGATTTTCTGCACAGCAACAATCGCTATCTCTTCCCAGCACGTAGCTGCCATCAATTCCTTTTGTCTCTGTGAATAAGAAGTAAGAAACTCCTGGGGCAGGAGAAGAAGTTGCCTGGCTCGATGCTGGGAATCAGGGCAGAGATACAATTCAAACGTCTCCTTATTGTTTTTTGCCTCTTGACATTTCCCACATCACGCCGTGTTCTGCTGCTGCAGWAAAATAATAGCTAAGATTTAGTTAAGTGGAAAAATACTGCTGCTTTTCCAATGTCAAAGCCCCAGAACCTCTGGTAATGCAGTCCCTGAAGGAAATCAGAGCAGGTGTGAGGCGTTGCTCTTCAAAGGCAGGTAAAACACTGTGAAAGAAGATGTTCTCCTTCTCTTAACCATTTTTAAAAAATCCAATTATTGGGTTTGTTTTTCCCCCTTTATTTTACTTTGCTATACTAAGGGAATGTTGTTTTTACAATTGTCYGCAGGCATTTTCCAAGTCCTCAGGCAAATGGATGTTGGCTTCTTGAAATTAAAAATCTTTAGGTCTTATCTTCCTTTGGAACCATGGAAAGCCTCAGGTGAATAAGAGATATAAAAAATGACATTCCCATTCCAACTGTCCCACGTTTAATTACGGGTTTTTTCCCCTTCTGTAAGGAGTTTTTAGATCCCACCCCCAAACATCTTTTTTTAACCCAGCTCCATTACATTCCCCGTGTTTTGACTCGTAGATTTGGTGGGCATCAACTCTTGCCTCAGGTGATATCCAAGCCAAGAAGTTCCTATATTTTGGGGAAAAAGAGGTGGCTGGATAGAAAAATAAATCCCTGGCACTGAGGGGAGAGTTGGAACCACTTGGATTATCCAACCCAACAAAATCCATTTGGGAGGAAGAGTTAATGGATGCCTCAACCCCAGGAAAAACCCTCAGCTCAGAGCTCCTCCTTATTAAACCACAGGTAGCTGAGCATGACATATGTTGGAGACAAAGCTTCAGAAATTCCAGTGCTCACAGAAATATTTCATCCTGCTGAATGCTGCTTTGGAGATTTTCTGGTTTGTGTGAGGAGAAGCTGCAGGCAAGAGAAACAACAAGAAMTCGAGCTGAAATGGGTAAAACTCCYGGTACCGGCAACGYGYTCTTGTATTTCTGAGGGAAACAGCACCAGTATCAATCCTCCCAAAATGAAACATCAGCCAGCCAATTTCAGGGCTTGTCTTGCAGAAAATGGGGGATGAGATTCAGCAGCTGAACTGAGTCCTCTCGGCCTCCAATTTCATTCACTCCGAGGCGATAGAAGAGCAGGAGAATATGACAGTTGTTGTAGTTCCAGAGCGCTTTTGACACAGTAAATCTGTCACTGGCAGAGGCCACATCTCATTTTACAGGAGGAACCGTGACCTGGGGATGCTCAAATCAGGCACACAACAACAATCCCAGCTTACTTCACAATCTCAAGGATTTGCTGCCGAGAGGAGAAGAAAGTGGAATGATCTGTGCTCATTCATGGAGACTTGGAAGGATTTTCAAAGGATGGATTGCTTGGTTGGGTTCTGCTTGCGGGGAACAAGACAGGACGAGAGGACACAGCCTTGAGCTGCTCTAGGGAATGTTCTGTCAGGACATCAGGAGGAATTTCTTCATGGAAAGCATTGGAACGAGTGCTCAGGGAGGTGGTGGAGTCCCCATTTCCCTGGAGGTGTCCAAGGAAGGAGTGGATGTGGCACTCGGTGTTCCGGGTTGGCGATTGGGGACAGGTTGGGCTCGATGGTCTTGGAGGGCTTTCCCAAGCCAAAAGTTTCTGTGGTCTTACAGAGAGTCACAGGTGCCTCTGAAAGGGCTTCTCACGCTGATATTGGAAATCTCAGCCTCCCACTGTTTGACCAGCAAGCTCCTGTCCTGCATTTTCACTAAAAAAACAAAAACAAAAACAAAAACAAAAACCCAAAAATAACAAGAGAAAAAAACCTGAAAATCCAAAAACCAATCAACAACAAAAAAACCCAACAAAATATAAAAAAACCCCTAAAAATACCAAACAAATAAACACAATAAAACAAATCAAAACAAAAAA